TTATTATAATAATAAAATTATGATTATTATTGCGAGCATATGCATGTCCAAATAAAAGCAATTATGAGTGCTATAAACACACTGAAGAAGATTGAGTCAGGAGGAGATTGATTATTTTATTCAAACAGTAAAAGAAATGAATAAACAAAAACAGGCAAAAACATTGTAAGAGTCTCTTCACCAACATTTTGCAATTCAATGTGCTCCTGTGTGCTGTTGTCAAGGACATGAATGAGAATTAATGAGTTGATTCCATTTTCAGTTTATTTTTACTAATTCGGCAGAGTAAAAGGGCAGAACAAGCAATATGGAGAAAAGAGCATGCATGTAATTGAATTTATTCAGAATATGCTGCTTACATTTATACAGGGAATAGCTGAGTGAGGCATATGTGACAAGTGTTTTTCAAAACAAAGTGTTAACTAAAATATGGCAAATATTAAAATAATAAATAAAACTAAAATAAAATAAATTAAACCTAAATAGTAATATTAAAAAATAAAGAGATAAGCACATAACAAAATGACAAAAAATTTAACTAAAATAAAAATGAAAAATGAAAATATAAAAATAAAAGCTACTTCCAAATATGAATAAAACCTTTACTACAAGACTGATATGGACCTCAACTGAAAAATTATTTATACCAAGAGAACTGTGGATATAGATTCATATGTTTCGAGAAAATGTCAAAGCCTGATTCACTCAGCAACAGCTGTGTAAATTCCTGCAAAATATATTAAGCTGTATGTATTTAATTGTATTGATACTATAAAGCTGTAAATCTCATGTGCATAAACCTGTTGCAATAATCAATATATCGACTTATCACACAAAATATGTACATGACCTCAATAATTTTGTGACGCAATATATTGCCCATTATTTTTACATAAAAATTTATGTCACCATGTTTTTTGCATTCCACTTGCGCCAGTGTCTTTTGCAGCTTCCTGTACATAACGTGGTGTAGTTGGTGCTAGTTCAAATTTAAAAAATGCTTCTACAAAAAAAAATTTCATCTGCAGATGTGGCCTTGTTTAGGGATCTGTGCCTTTGTGCATACGGACATCTGACTGCTAAGTAGTGATTGTGTTTTTCAGCAATACAGTATATCCTTAATTTACAGAGAAAAGAAGGTCTGGGAAAAATCTGTTGATGGAAAAATCTCCATTCAAGTTCTTTGTGAATTTTTCTTTTTTCTACTTGTTACTTTGCACTTTTTGTTAGAAAATTTTTCTTTACTATTTATTCAAGTTTTTTTAAGGTATCTAATATTTTGATACTTAATTTCCACGATCCAAATATTCTTAAGAATTCAAAGTTTGTTGTCATTTGAAAGTGTGTTGGCCTTCTTGCATTATTATGCTTTTATACTATGATTATATATTCAGTGGCATGAAATGGTCTTAAAATGACAATAATATTGTTTAACACAATTATTTCTGGGCCAATATATCACACAACAAAAAGGTGTTATCGTGACAGGCCTACATGTGCAATAAAAATAATAATAATAATAATAATCTGAACAGCCCTCTCAGCAGGCTATAACGGAGCGGAGAATTGCTTCCCAGCAATAATATTATAATATCAACAGTCTTGTTGATGAGGCCCTCAAGACACTGTAGCACTGAAACTCAATCAAAGCACTTGTGCACACCAAATGATTTCGGGACAACAAATACGATTTTGTGAAGCTTACAGGTCAAAAGCTACCAGTGAAAGACCCCACAAATAGCCTCTGCTTTGAGCAGAGTGATTTATACATTTAAATTCATGCATCAACAAAATGCGATACTGTTAAGTAAGCTAATCACTACACCGACTAGCAAAACCTTTATAAAAATAGAGAGGAAAACAAATCGAAACAAAAACAACCACAAAAGCCCACGACAGATACTGTGGCATGATAATGGCTCAAGTACTAATGCAAAATTCTTGCTGTAGACTGACCTGGACGTGGCATGCAAATTAACTTTTCACTTAAAGCAAAGAGCCACGAAAGCACTAACCAAAGTGAGTGCTGCCAGTAGAGGATAATGCTTCTGCTACATCACAATGATAAATGATAATAGTCACACCACATCTTTGAGTACCACTACCTGTCATTTCATCAACCTACTCTAGCAGAAGAAGCCAAGTGGATGATGACTTGCTGGAATTATATATATTTTGACTCAGAGGACCAAAACAGCAGTTGCTAGTGAAGATGTTGGGCCATAGATAGAAAGTAGGACAACCAAGCTCATGAGAGCAGCAAAAGATACCAGCTGCAAAGAACAAACTGACAGTTTAAGTCATGTATCATAAAGTTCATTAAAACACCAATCTGTTTAATACGGTCTAACGTCCACTGTATCATCAAATATTAACATCCACTCTAGAGAATTAGCTTCAGACAAATCGACTGGATACATTTACACAGCTCACATGACTATGAAAAATTAAAAAGCCGATGACAATGAAGTGATTGTTCGAGATCATTCCGCTTCAGATTGTTCATTGTTGATGTGCAGCTCATCAAAACGCCTCAGTGAATCAAGTCCATGATGTCTTTGAGCTCAAGGGTCCCATGAATGTAGTAACCTAAACAACTGACTCCTCACAAGTGAAAGAACTAAAAACAGACCATCTTGCATATTAAATGCGCAGATCAGCGCAAACAGGTCACCCACACACGCATACACTAAAATTGATTACATTTGATTTCTGTAATGTCTTTGGCACATCTTCAGGAGTGTGCCGCCAGAGCACTCCATCATAATAAAAATGTCCATACATGATTGAACCACTGAAACTGGCATAGCTGATGCCTTCATTGTTACTATATTACTGTTGAACTCATGGAAAATGCTCTTAAAGAGGTAGTTCACCCAAAAATGTTGTTCCAAAACTCACCCTCATGTCGTTCCAAAACCATTTTGAACTAATGAAAATATTTTTTCTCATCATTTATGCCCATCTATTAAGAGGTGTACTATAATTTGCAAGCTTCAAAAAGTACAAATAGTCATCTTAAAATAAATCCATATGAATCTAGCGGTTTACCCCAAGTCTTCTGAAGAGATATGATCACTTTATATGATGAATAGATATAATTTTGCCTTTAATTCAGATATAAACATTGATCAACACATACAGATACCCATCAAACATAGTCGACAGAATGCTTGCTTGGAGAAAATTTTGGTTAGTTGGACTTTAAATGGACATATATTATTGATGAGAGAAAATATATCTTCATTTGTGTTACTAAAACGAATGAAAGTCTTATGGATTTGGAAGGACATTAGGGTGAGAGTAAATGATAACAGAATTTATTATACTTTTTTTTTTTGGGATGAACTAACCCTTAAATGTCTAACTAATCTGCATGTCTAAACTTGTCAAGACATCTCTCCTCTTCCAAACAAGAGAGTATATAAAGGCTTTTGCCATAAAGAGGCAGTTAAAAATATCATTTCAGTCATCCTTCACTAATCTTCATGTTGTCAGCCAGAATGACAGTCCCAGTAACCATTCACTTGCATCACATGGAAAAGGAGTCATTGAAAGGGTGACTGAGGTTGCCAATTCATTACATTTCGTCAAACATCTCCTTTCGTGATCCACAGAATAAAGGCTGGAACAAAATAAGGATAGGTAATTTTTCATTTTAAGGCGAACTGTCCCTTTAAGGTTCCTGAACGCACATTGGCAAACATTGTGTTTTGCTTAAAATTAAAAGCAAAAACACTTGGGGAATTCTACTAGTAAACAGTGGCCAAGTAAAGAAAAACAACCCAGACCATCTTATTAAACCAACACCAACTACAGATTTAGATTAGGGAGCATTTACATTTGTTTTGAATATTTTGTACACGTACAAATGCTGGAATTGAACCAAATAAGCTCTTACATCTTACTCCTTCATACTTGAAAGTCTAATACAAAGAAGCGTCACGAATCATGGGAAAATTGCAATTTAGCCACAATATTACAGCAAATATTCAGCATGATCCACACAAAAGTAACGCGTCAGTGTGTTTTGTTACATTTGTAACGCTCGTTGTTTTACTACAGAAACTATATCGGCTGTAATCAACCATCATCGTTGTAACAAGCACTAACCTTCATCCGCTTCACTTTCGTCCACTTGTTACTACGCCATTCACTCTTGGTCGGGATTCCCTTTCATTTCCTAAAGCTCTTCCCGCATTCCACACTCTTGATTCAATGGATTTGAATTGATCTTTTCGGAGATTCCTAGTCACATCCAACGCTCCACTGACAGTCTATTGAGCACAATGAGAAAGAGGGATAGGGCTTTAAACAGCTGTTTCCAAAATGGAGTGATCCCACAGCCAATCACGCTCCGTCTGCTCTCTTACTAATAACAGCACTTCGCTTTGCTCACGCGGAGCTGCTTGCGTGAAAACAATTGTGCGCTGAACAGTAACTTTGAATAATCCGCATCTTAAAGTGTTTGTTTTTAGGAAGATTTATGAAAAGGAAGCAAGTTTCCAAGCTGCAGTACGCCACTGCGAGTGCTGAATACCCTTACAAAATTACCATGGTAACCAGTTTCCGCAAAAATACCATACCACAGTGATTTTCTTATTATGAAAATGTGGAAACTTAGCCTCCTCTGTCAGCAAAAATTAACAAATTAAACATGATCATTTCTGAAAACTTTATACTTTGAAGAAGATATTAATGTAAGGTGTTTTACTGTAATATTTTTTTAAGGCTTTTATGGTATTTTGTGCCGGGTGAAGACATTTTCCAGCTATAGGAAGAAAGGAAGTGTGCCAGTGGATGAAGTTTCTGTCAGATGGTGAATGTCTCCATCTTTTGGTGAACACCATACTACACAGCACTTCTTCAGCCAACCAAAAATAACAGAATCATTTCTTAACTTTGAAAATTATCATCTTTACTGACTGTTTCACAAAATATTTAATAAGATATGTCTACAATACTGACACATTAAACACAAGGCTTAAAAATAAGGCATAAAATGTGCTCAGTAAGACAAGAATTAAATGACATCCCTTAACACTTAAAATAAAACAAACCAGTTATCTTTACAAGGTGTATACAACATTAAAGGTTAATATTCATCTGAACAATTTTGGCAAATGACAATATACAAACACACATTGTGAATTGGCCACTTAACGTTCAAAATATTGTGTTGTTGAGATGTAAATAAGTGTACTGAGCTAACTGGCCTCAGCTTAATATGCTTTACATGTACCACTAGCTGATGTCTAACCAATTTTAAAGCTTATCACGAAACTTATGACAACGGTATTGTGTGTACAAAAACGTAACGCACACTCCCGAACAGTAAAAGACATAAACAAGGAAAACAATATTTTAGAGCGGTCCACAAATTGGAAATAAACATGGTCATTATTTTATTCTCTAAAGCTTTAAAAAAAAAAAAAAATGCAAATTGTTATTGCTTTGGATATAATTGATAAGAGCCACTATCTCCAATCTAAATTCTCTATTTAGTTAACCTTTCTAAATATCTAATTTTCCCTTCACCCTAAATTAAGGCAAGCAATATTTGATTTGTGGCATAAAATAAGAATGATGTAGTGCTGAACATTGTTTTAGACATTGTAACAGATACAGATTAAAACCCAAGGCTACGAGTATTCTGGAAATGATTTTGAATCAAGTTTTTTTTAAACACATGGTAACCAGATTAAGCCAAAGCAATAAGAATATATCCAGCATCTAAATGGTTGTCTGTACTAGATATTTTAAACGGTCAGACTCATCCGGTGACCTGTGAATACATAGTTGGTCATAGCTAAATAAATGTTTCAAAAGAAGCCATTGTACATTATCAGGAGGTCAGTAACAATAATAAAGCTGGGAACGTAGATGTCTGAAGGAGTCCTCTCCATGTGCGCCAGCTTGCTCTCCCTCAAACAGCATGGAGTCTGGCATAACGACACCCTCCAGAGGATCAGGCTGACAGAACTCCACCACAAACTCTTCCTCAGCCCCCAGCAGCGTTCTGGACCAGGCAGACATGTCAAGTCTTCCAGCCACTCCTCCATACTCTTGAGGAAGCACAGACTGAGGAATGACTCGATGGAGAGAGGCCAAGTCTGACCCGTGAAGGACATACTGTTGGGAGAAGACAGGCCCTTGTTTCCAGTATTATTGTGCTAGAAATGTCTGTGCGTAAATACCAGGATAAGTCGGTTACTTACCCTCTCTGCCATTTTCTCTTTCAGAAATGGCTTAATTATTGCAAAAATACCCTTGAAGATACGTGGCTCATTTATAATGTTTACAGCCTTTATTCTGATTGGGAAGCCATCCTGAAGCACAAAAGCAGCAGTCAGTGCTAAAATAATTCAAACTATAATCTCTGGGATACTTTTTCCAATGTCTTACCTGAAGGATACCAACAACTTTCTTTGCCAAAAGTGGTCCTGGATTAGAGGCTTGAGAGAGGCCAACTCCTGTATAATCCACCAGGATAACAATTCCATTCACTTGGGTTTCCTCAGGCTGAATCAGCTTCTCTAATGTCAAATAAATTGCCCGAATGTTGTCCACAAATGGGTAATCATTAGGCTTCCATTTACCTAGGAAAGCAAAAGACAAGAAAAAAATGTTTGTTGTAATCATCTTTTCGGCTCAATTATAACATTTGTGTGCACGAATAAATCATTCATAACAAACAATGCCATATTTGCAGGGGAAAAAAACTAAAAGAAGAGCAGCATTCTGGTTTAAGTTGAGGCACAGTTCCAAAAGGCTTTAATCCTATAAAGCAGGGGATTCAAACTCAGTTCCTGGAGGGACGCAGCCCTGCAGAGTTTAGTTCCAGCCCTGCCCCAACACACATACCATGTAGTTTTCAAATAAATATACCACAGTGATTTTCTTATTATGAAAATGTGGAAACTTAGCCTCCTCTGTCAGCAAAAATTAACAAATTAAACATGATCATTTCTGAAAACTTTATACTTTGAAGAAGATATTAATGTAAGGTGTTTTACTGTAATATTTTTTTAAGGCTTTTATGGTATTTTGTGCCGGGTGAAGACATTTTCCAGCTATAGGAAGAAAGGAAGTGTGCCAGTGGATGAAGTTTCTGTCAGATGGTGAATGTCTCCATCTTTTGGTGAACACCATACTACACAGCACTTCTTCAGCCAACCAAAAATAACAGAATCATTTCTTAACTTTGAAAATTATCATCTTTACTGACTGTTTCACAAAATATTTAAATAATAAGATATGTCTACAATACTGACACATTAAACACAAGGCTTAAAAATAAGGCATAAAATGTGCTCAGTAAGACTAGAATTAAATTACATCCCTTAACACTTAAAATAAAACAAACCAGTTATCTTTACAATGTGTATACAACATTAAAGGTTAATATTCATCTGAACAATTTTGGCAAATGACAATATACAAACACACATTGTGAATTGGCCACTTAACGTTCAAAATATTGTGTTGTTGAGATGTAAATAAGTGTACTGAGCTAACTGGCCTCAGCTTAATATGCTTTACATGTACCACTATCTGATGTCTAACCAATTTTAAAGCTTATCACGAAACTTATAGTTTGTTGTAATCATCTTTTCGGCTCAATTATAACATTTGTGTGCACGAATAAATCATTCATAACAAACAATGCCATATTTGCAGGGGAAAAAAACTAAAAGAAGAGCAGCATTCTGGTTTAAGTTGAGGCACAGTTCCAAAAGGCTTTAATCCTATAAAGCAGGGGATTCAAACTCAGTTCCTGGAGGGACGCAGCCCTGCAGAGTTTAGTTCCAGCCCTGCCCCAACACACATACCATGTAGTTTTCAAATAAATCTAAATTACTTGATTAGCTGGATCAGGTGTGTTTAATTAGGGTTGAATCTAAACTGTGCAGGGCTGTGGCCCTCCAGGAACTGAGTTTGACACCCCTGCTATAAAGTATCATAATTCGATACATAATTCTAAAAAAGTATCATAATTCGATACATGAATTTCTATGGCCTTGCTGAAAAACCTGTTGTACAGAGTCTTCTACATCTTCATAATATTCCATGTTTTTTTTTTAGGAAGTAAAATACCTTTTAGTATAATTCTAAAAATGTCCACCTTCAGGTCTTGGTATTTTTGCTGCAAAATATTTACTGATTTTTATGACATATGAATGACATAATATTTTAAGATGAACATTTACTGGACTTAAAGGGATAGTTCACCCAAAAATGAAAATTTGATGTTTATCTGCTTACCCCCAGGGATTCCAAGATGTAGGTGACTTTGTTTCTTCAGTAGAACACAAATGAAGATTTTTTTACACAAACCAGTTGCAGTCTGTCAGTCTTATAATGGAAGTGAATGAAGTCACGGCTTTGAGAGTAAAAAAAAAACATACACAAACAAAACCAAATTAAACCATGCGGCTCATGACGATACATTGATGTGTGAAGACACAAAACGATCGGTCTGTGCAAGAAACTTAACAGTATATTTATAATGTTTACAGCCTTTATTCTGATTGGGAAGCCATCCTGAAGCACAAAAGCAGCAGTCAGTGCTAAAATAATTCAAACTATAATCTCTGGGATACTTTTTCCAATGTCTTACCTGAAGGATACCAACAACTTTCTTTGCCAAAAGTGGTCCTGGATTAGAGGCTTGAGAGAGGCCAACTCCTGTATAATCCACCAGGATAACAATTCCATTCACTTGGGTTTCCTCAGGCTGAATCAGCTTCTCTAATGTCAAATAAATTGCCCGAATGTTGTCCACAAATGGGTAATCATTAGGCTTCCATTTACCTAGGAAAGCAAAAGACAAGAAAAAAATGTTTGTTGTAATCATCTTTTCGGCTCAATTATAACATTTGTGTGCACGAATAAATCATTCATAACAAACAATGCCATATTTGCAGGGGAAAAAAACTAAAAGAAGAGCAGCATTCTGGTTTAAGTTGAGGCACAGTTCCAAAAGGCTTTAATCCTATAAAGCAGGGGATTCAAACTCAGTTCCTGGAGGGACGCAGCCCTGCAGAGTTTAGTTCCAGCCCTGCCCCAACACACATACCATGTAGTTTTCAAATAAATCTAAATTACTTGATTAGCTGGATCAGGTGTGTTTAATTAGGGTTGAATCTAAACTGTGCAGGGCTGTGGCCCTCCAGGAACTGAGTTTGACACCCCTGCTATAAAGTATCATAATTCGATACATAATTCTAAAAAAGTATCATAATTCGATACATGAATTTCTATGGCCTTGCTGAAAAACCTGTTGTACAGAGTCTTCTACATCTTCATAATATTCCATGTTTTTTTTTTAGGAAGTAAAATACCTTTTAGTATAATTCTAAAAATGTCCACCTTCAGGTCTTGGTATTTTTGCTGCAAAATATTTACTGATTTTTATGACATATGAATGACATAATATTTTAAGATGAACATTTACTGGACTTAAAGGGATAGTTCACCCAAAAATGAAAATTTGATGTTTATCTGCTTACCCCCAGGGATTCCAAGATGTAGGTGACTTTGTTTCTTCAGTAGAACACAAATGAAGATTTTTTTACACAAACCAGTTGCAGTCTGTCAGTCTTATAATGGAAGTGAATGAAGTCACGGCTTTGAGAGTAAAAAAAAAACATACACAAACAAAACCAAATTAAACCATGCGGCTCATGACGATACATTGATGTGTGAAGACACAAAACGATCGGTCTGTGCAAGAAACTTAACAGTATTTATATAGTTTTTTACCTCTGATTCACGCAATGTCCGAACTGTTCTGAGCAGCGGGGCATCCTCCTGAGCACGTTCTCAACAGCCAGCTTCTTCTTCTTCTTGCTTTAAGGCGGATCACAGACTTATAAGTGCATTACCGCCACCTATCTCTCAAGTGGACCATTGACACTCTATCTACAATCTCAATTAGGCGTGCCAATGGTCCACTTGAGAGATAGGTGGCGGTAATTCACTTATAAGTCTGCGATCCGCTGTAAAGCAAGAAGAAGACGACGCCTCACCGGCTGTCGAGGACGCGCTCAGGACAGTTCAGACATTGCAGTGCATCAGAGGTAAAAAAACGATATAAATACTGTTCAGTTTCTTGCACAGACCGATCGTTTTGTGTCTTTACACATCAATGTAACGTCATGAGCTGCAGGGTTTAATTTGGTTTTGTTTGTGTATGTTTTTTTTTTACTTTCAAAGCCGTGATTCCCATCCACTGACATCATAGGACTGACAGACTGCAACGGTTTGTGTTAAAAATCTTCGTTTATGTTCTACCGAAGAAACAAAGTCACCTACATCTTGGATGCCCTGGGGGTACGCAGATAAACATCAAATTTTCATTTTTGGGTGAACTATCCCTTTAAGCAACCTAGGTTGACTGGATTACCCATACATTATTTTTTAGACAAATTATTTTGCATTATATGTTTTGCCCCCTGCAATGAAAACTACAGAGCTTTGATCATGAAACTACTCAATATATTATTGGGAGATACAGAACAACAACTGACATGTATATGCACTTTATGTAAGTTTGCTATACTAATATAATATCTAATTGATTAGCCATCAGAATTTCATCTTACTTTTTGGCCATATAAATGTCAGCCGTTCCAAATGGCATGTTTTTGCCCATTTTGGGCCTCTGAATAACATTGAGGTGTTTTTCCTTCTTGAGTGTGAGCTCCATTTTTTCACTATATCATTACTATATGAGACAAGCTCTTCCATTTCAAAAGATTAAACTATTATGTCAGGTTTCAGGTTTCACATAGTTATTTTTTTTAATAATTTATTAATCTAACCCAAATATTTGGATTTCATGTCTGATTAGGTCTTGTTAAGACAATAAGAAGAAGCATTACCTTGACGTAAACACAGTATGTAGCGTCCATGAGGGTCTGGTCTGGGCAGGACAGTGAGAAAACCCAGATCTAGGACGTGCTTCACTGTAGAGGGCTTCAGGTCCTGAAACACCTCAGGCCAGGCTTTCCGGCTGGCATGATAATTCAAGAGTAGCTGAAGTGCCCGGTCATAATCAAACTTTCTGGCCCTGAGAAAACGCAGCAGGAATGCATCATCTAACCGTGTCCTCAGATTAGGGTGGTCTTTTAGTATCATATCTCGTAATGCCTGGACATCCCGGAGCCTCCATTCGGGCTTCTCCTGGAGCTCTTCCCGTGCCTTGGCCACTAGTTCAGGAGTCAGGGTGCAGGCGTAGATGGGTGGGGGAGGAGCTGGGAAGCCTACACCTGCCACCGCTTCCCTTGGTGGGCCAAGATCAATTTGACCATTTTGGTCTGCCATGGGCTATTGGTGTATAGAAATATTCAAGTCTCTTTAAATATAAAATAATGTAAATGACAAACATAGAGCAGTTTATGGGCAATTGCATTTCCACAATTTTAGCTAATTTTAAACAATGTCTCAAAATAGAACAATACAGAAATACAATCGAAAAATTAACAATAAATAAGCAACAAATAAGCATTTTTCATTTATGTTGACTCAGCTTAAAATAATTCAATTTATTACCATTTTACTTTACTACTTTTTGGAACCTGTATTAGCTGTTAAGGTATTTAAGAAGTATTTTCAATTCCCTTCAATAGAATAGTGTGAAAATCAATCTTTTTTTGTTGGTAAATGTGAGATTTTGAAGACATTGGGTTCATATTGATATAATGACAATGTACCTCTTTCTGGTGACCATTAAATTAAAGTAATCATGGTATTATTTTCTACAGTATTTTCTAAATACAGCGAGGTGTTTTATGAGGAACAACTGTAGTTGGACTCATGCTTAAACATGAACTGCACTATCATATGAATAAGAAAAAATATATACATCTCTAATAACTGATGTCAGAACCATAGCTAAATCAATATGAAATCATCTTGACGCTACTGTGGTGCTCATGGATTACTGTAATTAAACATATGAAAGCGACGCTTGGTACTTTAAAATGCTGAATGATTACATTTATCGTGATAGCTTCCGTTTTTCAACGTTTAATAGTTGATGCCCTTCACGTAAAACCGAACTCAAATCAAACGGAATATAATCAACCTACCTAAGAAATCTGCAATCAGTTCCGTGTACAGGGAGAAGCCGTTCTACCATTGGTCATTCTGTATCATGTGATGTATGACGAAGGACACGTTTATTCTGCCTGTTTCCCTTAAAGCTGAAGTGTGTAATTTTTTCGAAATAAAACATCGAGATATCCCAATTAATATGCAGAGGCGATTATAAACAAGTAGCTTGTAGTCTGATTTAACGTAAAATGTAAACACTTTGACTCTATGACGGTATCAAACATTGCTCGCATCTTTACAGCGCAACATTGGCTCAACCAATGGCGTGGGTTTGGGGGCAGGACTATGTGTTTTTGGCCAATTGCAGCAGACGCAACGAGTGTTTGGTTCGGGGTAACCTGTTTATAGACGCGGTACAGGTAAAAAGGGAGGATTTTTGCTTTAAACAAAAGTGGCGTTGGTTTTGGTTATAAAAATCGACTTTTACTTTTCATATGCTGTTAATAGGCCACACCTTGTTACATTCTGTCCCATCGAAGTACACTAGTTGTTCGAAACAGTTATGAAATAAAAAATGTTGAACTAAGCCAGTGGTTCTCAAACCTGTTCTGGAGTACCCCCAGCCCTGTACATTTTGTATGTCTCCCTCATCTATCACACCTCATCAGCTCATTAGTGGAGACTGCAAGACCTGAAGTGGGAGTGTCAGATATAGGGAGATACAAAATGTGCAGTGCTGGGGGTACTTCATGGAGAGGTTTGAGAACCACTGAACTATGCTATATCTTGAAAGCTACTTGACACTAGGTTTATTGAATTATAGATGTGATTAACGTGAGGTTCATTCAATAACTGGCACATCTGGTTATATCAGTCCTGACAAAGATTTCTTAAGAGAAACTATCAGTAAAGGCGCCTGCTTTATGAATTGTTTTATTGTCTGTTATCAGTGTTGAGAAGCACACACCCCCAGCACTAAAAATACTTGACCATTCTCTGCCACGTACACTTACTTTTATCATCTTGTTTTGAAGCAGGTTTTACAGCTGGAGATGATTATGAGCCTGAAAAGTTCCTCTGAAAACTTTTGCCATTGAGTAAGGCTTTACATTTGGAAGCAAATGGCATATGCATGATCACAGTTTAAGTGCCTGCTAAAAAAATAAAATAAAAGATCTTAAACCAGTCTTACTTTGCTGGATTTTATCTAGTCTTCTAGCCTGACCTGATATTTCTCTGAAACCTGTATTAGTTCAGACCAACAAAACAGTTTAGACTGGTTTAAGGAGGGTATATAAAAAGGATTATTTGAGATGTTAGTTCAGACCACCCACTGAAATTATGGTGGATGCTGTTTAAAAACTTACGTTATTTTATAGCAGCTTGTGTGGCCTCAAGATAAGATTCAAAAAGATAATTATAGAGATATGAATGGAAAGAAACAACAGCACGCTTTTATGTAAAAATATAGCCTTGACATTTAATATCAGTTCACATTGCAAGTTTGAAATTACCCTTCTCCCTGAAGGCAGTCATTGTAAATTGGCAGTAAATGACCAACATGTAAAACTATAAATGAGTGTGACATTCTCTTACTGTATGCATACATACACATCACTAGTTACAGTTAAGGGGTTTAACAGGAGACAAAAATGTTTTTTTTAAATCCTAAAATCATGAATTAGAAGAGACTAAATCCTTTTATGAAATAAAGGAAATCATTATATTTACAATTGAAGTATGGCACAAACAGAAAAATATGAAATGCACATACTCTTAGCATACATAAAATAATTACCAGCATTTTGGTAAATAACAATATTTCCAAGGCACAAAATGTTATGTATTCTATTATGCTACCGTAAAAGTACTATAAGAGCCAGAAGCAAGCTGTTAAAATACTGTACAACAAAACAAACATCTGATCACATTCAGGCCTGCTGTAACATTTATGGAACTCAAACTCTCCTTGAAAGGAGAATAAAACTTGCATAGCCTTGGTATAATATGGTCTTTTCTGACTTTTTAAATTCTGTTGTGACTCCTTGGGTAGTACAAATATGCACCACTATTTCATTCTAAAACATGCATACAGCAAACAAATGAGATGGGATGAACATATAGATTTAAAGTGTGATTGTTGCACACCTTTAAACTCAACTATTTTGGTCTAAAGTTCTTAAAATAGGAAATTCTGAACAATTTCACTGTGTCTTTTCTAAAAACCTTAAATTTAACAGCTAGTGAATATAAATGTCAGTGTTACTGTGTCCAGATGCCTATGAGAATGAATTGTCACACTCAGCACAGCCTATTCAAAGTAACAAGTTAAAAAACTTGATCTGTATTTCTCTGTGCACTCAGATGGCCTCTTGTTTGGTGATGGTTGGTTGAGGAATGGAGCTTGGTTGCTTTGGCACTGTGGCTATTACCCCCGGTGCCATTTTGTAATGATCCGAACCTGAGGCTGTCGGGGGAGATGGGATTGGAGTTTCCGGAGTGGCTGTTTGGAAATCAAGGGTCCACATAGGGGTATTATGAAATCTTAAATAAACATAATTTGCATAGCATGATAACATGCGAAAGAAAGAAATCATTGGTTGACACAAAATAAGCACTTTCATGACATTTCTGAAGGCATTAGGGTAGAAAAGCATTACAGTGGCCGTCTTTGACAAAATAAGCCTGATTAGTTTCTACGATTTTGGCAAGGATTACACCAACAAGCCTGTTTGTCCCTGACTACCTGGTTTTCACATTTTAAGGACCTATATTTACTGTTAGGTCTTCCTTCATAACAAATGTTCTTTCACTTGGTTCAAGAAGATAGAGTTACTTACACATCTGGCCATTGTGAATTGGAGTGACCATGTTTGTGGTGACAATGACATTGTTACTGAGGTGCTCCTGGACCAGATGTGGGTGTAGAGAATGATGGGCATGAGGAGCTTCATTAGCAGAACCTGACAGAAAAAGAGAGTCATTAAATCTCTGATTGGGAAGATCATTTACAAATCCGGATCAAGTAGGACCTTGTTTTTTCAGTCTATTAAGAAACCGGTAGTTATAGGCTGCCTTTTTTATCTTTTATAACAAGTTATTCTCGTTGTTCCCAGATGTTTATCATGCATCTCAGATATTGCAGCTTTTGACTGCTATCCAAAGTTAAGGGTCATTTATATACAGCGCTGTGCCACAATTGTCTGATAACCATGACTTGCACTTTTCTACAAAAATTTAATTTCATTAACAGAAATCAGTTACCTCCTAGAAGCATCTCTTGAAGCAGGTTGTCTATCTTCGCCATTCCAAACAATTTAACAAATTGGATTTGCTCGATCATTTGCCAGGTGATACTCTGTAGCGTTGGCAACAGAAGTAGTAGCTCTCCGAACCGTCCTCGCGAATCGTACTGCCGGTCATTTATGTAGTCCTCCAAACTAACTTGAACTTGGTATCGCATGCGTTTGATCTTGCTTGGGTCGCTTAAACCTTTGGCATCTATGTGAGTAGTGAAAGATCATTACATTAGATCAGTTTGAAAACTCACTTGATATTCTGCTCTGTTTTGTCTCTTTTTTAGGAAAATGTATCTACCTGGATCGAAAAATACAATGGCCTTCAAACAGGCATATTCATTGTCATCGATCTGGAGATCCTGGAAGGGAAGGACTAACTCGTCAAGGATCCTTACAGCCACACGGCTCACCTCCAATTCGGGGCAATTTCGTGGAATTATATGATCATTACCTACGAGAATCATGGAAAATTGTGAGGTAAAACATTAGTAAAATACCTTGAGTCCAGAAGACTGTCATATCCACATTTCCAATGTGTCTTGCTTAAAAACTTACCTAATAGTAAAATGTCCTTATACAGCATGGAGCGTTTGGCAGCTCCTAGCAGGAGATGTTCTCCAGCATGAGCTCGCAGTAAAGCCACCTGAGACAAATGAACAAGCGTTTGTTTGGTTAGAGCCCTTTTTATAACCATATCATCTCATTTTTTAACTTAAGATTAAATGTAGATATTTTTTAAGTATTTTTAGAGGCAAAATTAGGTTGGTCTTCATGCCTGTATGCACATGTGTGTTTTCACGTGTATGTTTGTGTGAGAAGATGCGGTTTGAGGCGCTCTCACCCACAGCTAAAACACTGATCAGTTATCATGCCTCAGTGCTCAGCATGTTAATGATTCTGAATGTCTCAAGAAGAGATGAAACTTTCAAACCAGCTCATCATATACTAACCTGAGCCATCTAAATACATTAACCACCCAAATGAAAGATCTCTGAACTTTTTTTTCCGACGGATAAAAAAAATATAAGCCAGCTGGTATTAATATCTATGAAATATATATATATATATATATATATATATATATATTAGGAATACTCCTAATATATATATTTCATATATATTAATGCATTTTCAGCTAAATAAGACGTTTTACCTCTTAATAAGAGGGATCTTACCTGATCATCCAGGGGAAGGTCACAGAATGCTGGGATGTATTTAGCCCATTCAACCAGCACCAGCAGCTGCTGTTTCATAGACTCGCACACATCAGTTATAGTGGCTACCTTCTTCGTTCTGATGTCGCCATTCAAGATAAGACCAGGTGATGAGATCTGCGTAGAAGCATATGGGAGAATTAAAAATTTATAAATGTAAATCATATAATATATTTTAAAGGTGAATTTTGTCATTTCTGTGCCTCTAGCTACACCCAGTGAAACTGCAGAAATATTGACTGTTTCCGAACGGGTTTCCAAAACAATCTCCCGGTTTACCATTGGTCAGATAGTCATGCCCCAAACCCATGCCATTGGTTGAGCATGTGTTGCTATGCGGTTCTAATTGGGATGCTCAAACAAACAGGGCAATGTTTTGATAGCTGTGCCACAGTGTTAACACTTTTTTCAGAGGACTCAACCTACAGATGTATTACTTGTAGTCTCTTCATGTTAAACTGGGTTAAGAGAACATATTTTACACAATTCACCTTGTGATTTGAACCTAGATTTGAATCACACTGTGTACCTGTCTAGAAAGGACATCAGCCTGAATGAGTGCGTTTATGGAGGGTAAGCT